TAGCTCACATTCAACTCTGATATTTTCCTGCAAGCAAGAATTATTATAGGACTGTGTCCTGTCCTGAGGAACTCAGAAAAAGATACTATGAAAGCCCTGTTGACAACAGGCCACGTAGGATAAGAAAGTTCTGAATAATTTCTATCTGTAGTCCCTGCCAAGTAACTATAAAGTCTCAAATATGAGTATGCTGGAATCTTGAGGCTGGCAGGCAAAGAAAGGCATATGGCTCTGCAGTATGGAAAAGGAGAAGCATATGATTTTTGTAATTATGGCTGTTCTCTGCTATTTTGATTCTATTTTCCTTTGGACGTATAATGAAAGTTACTTCGTTGGGTGTGACCATGAACTGGCTTTGACCAATGGAATGTAAGTAGCGATTATATGTGCCATTATTGGGAAAAAGCCTTTAAGTTAGACTTGCCATATTTCCTCCCCTCTGCTGTGTCTATTGTGGGAGCTCATATCAATAAGGAGCCTCTATTAGCATGAGTTCCATTAACTAGGAAGAAACCCCCTGACAACCTAGTATAGATATATATAGCATCAAGATAAATAAACCTTCATTATTTTATGTCAATGAGATTGTGAGGTTATTTATTTTTGCCCATCTTAATGATCCACATGATTTCTATGAAAGGTGAATTATTAAAAAAAAATTTTTTTTTAATCGATTCCAGAGAGAAGAGAGAGACAGAGGTGAGAAAGAAAAAAAATCAACTAACTGCCTCCTCATGGGCCTTGACTAGAGATCAAATATGCAACCGGGGTAGATGTCTTGACTAAAAATTAAACCTACCTGTCACCTTTTGTTGTACAGAATAAAGCTCCGACCAACTGAACCCCACTGAACAGGGACGAAAGTTCAATTCTTAAAGAAAGTAAAGACCAGAATTAGGCCTGTGACACAAACCTGGGTGAATTCAGGAAACAATCTGGGTGAACAGTTATCAGAAGTTGATAATCATCTACAGATAAAAGAAAACAGGCAGAATTAGATGAGCTTAAGTTCCAAGTCAATGAAGTCGACAATTTGAAACTGCATTCTATAATAGTTCTAGTAAGGAATACAACTGACTCAGTGGACATGTCAAGCGGAATACAGGGACATGGATGGTGGGTACTGAGATGAAGGGATGGTTTCTTCTATGATTATGCAGGAACCTGGAACTTTGGAGTCTCTAGTGGACTCCAAATATCAAGGGACCATCTTAGATTCCTTTCACATAATAGAAACCCAGTGCACAAAATTCATGCACTTGGGGAAGTGGGGGAAAGTCCCTCAGCCCAGCCTGCACCCTTTTGCAGTCCAAGAGCCTTTAGGAGATGTCCATCTGCTGTGGAGGCAGGAGAGGCTCCTGCCACTGCACTGTGAGCCCAGCTTCTGGCTGAGTGGCACTTCCCCTGTGGGAGTGCACTGACCACAAGGGGGCAGTAGTTCTTGCATTGAGCATCTTCTCCTTGGTGGTCAGTGCATGTCATAGCAACCAGTCATCCTGCCATTTGGTCAATTTGCATATTAGCCTTTTATTATTTAGGATTCTCGTGGACTGGGAACCTGGGCTTGCCTAAGCTTGCAATTGGTAGTTCATCACCATGACCAGGATTAGAACTAGAGCAGACAGGCTCTGAAACAAATAGCAATTGGTAGTAGAGTCTATCTGACAATGTGACAATGGTTTTTCTAGAGGAATGCTTTAGCTTTCCATTTCCCAGTTTTAACAATAATTGTTCAAGGAACATTATAAGTTATATTCTCTAAAAGTAATAGCCATCTTTTTTACCTTTTTTGGTGAGGAAAGTGGAAGGGACTCACTACTCATTTTTCACAAATTGTGGAAATAAACCATTTTTATATGATTATCACTAGTGATAATTAAATCTAAAATTGGTCCTTTGGATTAAGTTGCCCATAGTTTCTAATTCACTAAGATTCACTGTATAGTGTTTCCTGAGTAGATTTAAACATTTTAAAAACTCCCACCATGTGCAAAACTATGATGGAATTTTGCAGCTGTTTTATAGTAAACATATTAAACCAAATATAATCCAGTTAGAATTATTAAACATAAATTTATCTTTATTAAATAATATTTACAATTTCCTAGTATTGGTCTATTTTTTTCCATATTTTAAATTGTAATTACAATTGAACATGTTAAGACTGCAGATTTTACAAAATTAAGAAAAATCTATAGATTTGAAATAGAACTGCTTTAAAATTATGATGGTTTTTATTTTCTTTAATCAGGAAATGAAAATGTAACAGTAAGAAAAAAACAATACCCAAAATAAAACTTGAGTCATATATTTTGTTCTGAACAATTAATTTTTCTTTGTACAAAGAGTTTGATATAATTATAGGCCATGAGACATGGAAAGAAGATATATTATGTATATTAGTCATTCTTTTCTCTTGATGTTTGTTTTCTCTTTTTTTTAATTTATAAAAATTAACATTGGAAAAGGATTTTATGTGTATTCTGATCTCTTACCTCTATATAGTAAAGCCTATTTTTGTTGTTATTGTCATTTTTTTTCTTGCAAACTGCCATCCAAGTGCGGATGGAAGACAGTTTTAAAGAATTGTGGGAAAGGAATGTGGTCTCATGTAACTATAAAGGTTGCAATCTATCCATTCATACCTCTTTATGGTAGGCATGCAAATGTCGGCTCTTGTGACCTATTAAGATTCCTTAAAGAGTGGATTGTTCCTTTCATAGTGTATGGTTCTCTGATGGGGATCAACAACTCTGCCTGAAATCTTGCCCTCCAGCCCTGTGATAGCCCTGTGTCTCCCATCCCCATTTGCCCTGGACTACTCTAGATAACTGAGTTTGGAGGTTCTTCAGATATCTAGAGTCAACTACTTATCCAAGAGAGAGGAGCTTACTAGTGAAGGACATTTATTTCTTCAAAGATTATCAAACTGCTAACTATTAATACATGTTGAATTGCTTATGGGTTTGTTCACAGGGTTGTATACTTTGTATTGTTTTTACTTCATTAATTGCTTATCTCCTTATTATCTCCTCCCCTATACTTTAATTGAGTGTATTTTACTTTTATTTTTATAACACCTTGTTTTTAACATTTAGCCTAGTAATTAAAAATTTTATGCCTTTCTGCATTTCTAATATGTACATTTAAATATATACAGTTCCATCTAAATATACTTTTAGCTGCATGTCACACATTTGATATAATGTTTTAAAATTTTCAATATAAATTCTTCTTCAATTTGTAGGTTATTTAAAGCATTACTGTCCAATAAAAAATATGGAAACCATAATGCCAGGTCCTTTTGTGATTTAAATATTTAACCTTTTTAAACTTAAACCTTTGAATTACAATATTTTTTGGTCCTCTGATTGTGCTCAATGAGATACCTTGATACTGTTACTCCAGATTCTTGAACACAACTTTTGTCTCTTTCTTATATTTCCTTCCCATCCCATAATCTTCTTGATTCCTCCAATACTCCTGCTATTAACTCTTCAGGCTTCAGACTGTCTGATCCTGCTGCTGTCTAATCCTTACCTCTACTGTGCTGTTTGAACCATCACAATCTGAAACCCAGACAGTCTCAAACATTTGGACTACTATGCAGAATGTTTAAATCCCTGTTCTATTTCAGAATAAGAAATGTTCTTAAAATAATGCATGAGTTTAAGTATTTTATCAAACTTATTAGTTTATTCCCTTTCACCCTCCAGTTTATCTATAATATTCTTGCCTCACTAAAAAAGCTTCCTAAAAGCTTCATACAGTCCAATCTTATAAACTTGGCAATTCACCAATAGGATATTTATATTCACTCTGATGAGCAAAAAGTGTTGATCTTAAAAATACATGAGACATACACACTCAGCCTAGACTACATCTAATACTGCATGATACATATTGGAAAATAATGTCCTCCATTTTGTCAAACCTACTGGATCCCATCTCTTATTTCCAACTAGGATAAGTTTATCTTAGTGCTGATGTGACAATGGGACTAATGACTCTGCAGAAACCTTATTCAATAAGTATTTATGTTATTGACAGTGACATTTGGGACAAGAGTTAACTATTTGAGAAGTCAAACTGGCATGAGTTAACTATTACTTTGTGCCAGGAAATTTAAAAAAAGAAATAAAGAAATGTGGCCTTAAGTAAAAAGATGGTTAAATATAAAAAGAAAAGAAAATAAGAAAAAAAAATTCTGGCTTTGACGTACCATCCAATAACAATTATGTTTAAAAACTTGTTTGTATATCATACATTTTCTCTCAGTTTATAGAAAAGTCAGGTTCTTGGCTGGCTTTAATTGCCGAATTCCTTAAATATGCATAGAAAATGTCAATCCTTTATCCTACAGATATAAAAACCTGCAATGTTATGCCAGGCAACAGGTCCTTTCCCAGCATTTTGCTGGTGTTTTGCCTGCAAGAACTATCCAAGAAGGAATAAAATTTAGCATCAGAATGATAATGAATTACAGTAAAAAAAAATCCAGGAGACAGAGAAAGATTTCTTTTTGCACTGAAGAAAAATTATAAACTGGTTAGAATTAAGAGAGTTGAGGGTGTCCCTTTAAACTGTGCTGCTGGAATTGATCTCTGTATGTTTTCTGGTATACGCTCCTTTGAAAGGAGAATGAGAGCCGAGATCATTGGCTGCACTGTGAAGCTGTCACGTCTCAGTCCTGAAAAGGTGCAGTACAAGTGGTTTGAAACAGTCTTTAGCTTTCTATTTCCTATCGCCAAGAGCTTTGAGAATAAACCAAGCGAATGCTTTATTCAGGGCTAAGTGAGTTACAGAGCCCTCCAATCTGACAGCGTTTCAACCTCGGAGTGAGGGAGTGAGAAAGCAGCAGGAGCAGCAGCCGCAGAAGCACAGCAGCCACAACAGCAAAGGCAGCAGCCCCTACTGAAGTCCAACAGGGGAGACTTGATCTCCAGTTCATCTTGGAACTCCCTCCACGCGGCATCGTGCACTGTCCAGGGTCCTGAAACATGAACCAAACTGCCAGCGTGTCCCATAACATCAAGTGCCAGTCCTCCTCAAAAACAATCAAGGTAGGACTCAGGTTTTCTCTCTTCCCTCTGCATTTTTTGCACATGTGTCTTCATTCATCTTTACACGCGGACATCTGCATAGGAGGGCACAGACAGTGGAGATGCTCAGCTGGTTTGAGTTTGACTTAAGGATAGATGGGACTGAAGGGTTTGGTTCTATCTGCATGTATGTGTAGACCAGAGGGAGTTGCTTTCTCTCCACAATTCTTTTACTTTAACGACTTGTGCTTTTTTTTTTTTTCTGGCTGAGAATCTGTTAGTGGTATATTTGAGGAAGAAAGTTTAGTGAACTTCTAGAAGAGTTTCTAGTTTTCTTGACAAAACTGGTGGAGGATTTTGCCAACTGGTGGAAACAGATAATATTACACTGAATATGACATCGTATTTCGTTGTCATCTGGATTGGGGACTTCTTATTAATTCTGAAAGCAATGAGTATCCTTCACTGTGAGTGTTTAATTGGTGGTTACACTAAAGTGGCTAAGTGAGGAAGTATAAAAGGTTTATAAGGGGAGTATAAAAATGGATGTTCTTATATATGCCACCATATAACTCAAAACCAGTGAGGTGATTAAAGACACCTTTACTTCAGGTGCTTATTTCAAATTTGAGGCTTTTCTTTAATTATTAAAGGAAAAGAACCAAATTGAAAATTCTACTCTTCTGTTTTAGTTTTAAGTAATGTTTATGCCATTCTCTTTGTTTTTATTTGGGAGATTCTTACTTTCAAGGAGACATAAATATGCAGATTTCCAATGAAGGATTTACTCTATTTTGTCATTTATCTGTAAAAGACTATCAGTAAATTATTATCTGTGTGTATACTTTACATTTGGGGGGGTGGGGGGAAGTGATGAGTTCCTCTGAAGCTCTTTTATGGAAAATATATCATAATCTGATTGATCAACTTTAGTTACTACAATCTTTAATTCATGTACAATTGCATACGTTTTACTGAGATTCAATTTTTAGAAAATTCAAAATTTGAGACTTACTTTTTAAATTACATTATCTTTTGGTTTACATCTTAGGCTTGGGGAATAATTCATAGACTATCATTACAAAGTTATATAATTTTCAGCAATAAATCTCTTTTTAATGACCTTTTTGTCAGCCTTTCAGTGACAAATATACCATAAATTGAATATTTCTCTGCATGTATCTGCAATTATTTTTGAAAGCAATAAGATCTCCAGGATGGATCACATGATGCATAATTACACTCCCATCATAAATAAACACATAAGTTAACTAAAATCATGAAGAAGCCAAATTCAGGTAATTAACACCATTTATAATGGCAAAAGTAGAATCATATTAGCATTGGATTTTCTGCACTCTGTCCAAGTTTGGAAAGAAAATACCAAGCTTTAGAATTTTAGTTTTTATGAATGTCAGATTCCCATGAATGTCAGTTACATAAACATACCATCACTAAACAATGACAAAACAATGCATATATCACACTCTACATTGTGATCTATAAACTCCACTGGGAAATGTGTGTTGTAGGCAAAAGTGCAATTGAATTGTGAGCTAGCTATCTACCTTTGAGTCTGTTTAAAAACATAAAATGACCAGTGGCTTCCTGTGTAAGTGCTTGAGGTCATAGAAATTGTGTGGGTATTTTTGTCCTTTTATTATTGGGTAAGGACACATAAATGCTACTTTCTGGAACTTAAAGTCACTTCCCTTTTTGGTACTCTGGCATTGACCACCATCAGACAAACTGTGGAGCTAGAAAAATGTTCCTAGTGTAAGGGTTTCACATCATCTTGCTGATCTTGCAGATGCTCTGTGTTTTTTTGTGTGTGCGTTTTTTTTTTTTAAATATTCTAACTGCAGCCATTGACTTGAAATGAAAGGCATCATAAAAATTGGACAACCCACCACTTAGCAATGTATTATATTAATGGCATAATGAAGTAATCTTGAATCAAGGCTCTGGGTGATTTGGTTAATTGTACAAGTAAGTTCTTTTGTGTCCCCTCACCTTCCCACACACATACATCTCTGCCTTGATATTGCTCTGGGGAACCAAAGATGCTTGTGATGTTCATAAACTATATACAGTTGCAAACATAGAACTGTTAAGGGAGTAATTACTTGAATATTTCCCAATCTGCAGGATTAAAAAGGCATAAGTGGAAGAACTCTCTTCAAATTATGTCCAATTATGAAACATTTATGGCTTTTGGAATTTATACTAAAAACGACTATCTATATTTAGGTAATGCATTAGCCTATGGAAAAATGTAGTAACACAGTAAAGGAAAACTCCAAGATGAGAAGGTTTTTGGAAATATATTTGATGTTAGGGCTCAAAAGACTCTGAACTTTTATATTCCTTCTTCTTTTGTTTCTGGCATGGTTTTCCAGAGTTTATTCTTTCTTCTTCACTCTTAAATAATGATGTGACTCAATTGGAGCTCTGAAAATACTCAAATACCTAATAGCCATAAATTGCTCCATTTTAGAAATTCTAAAACCTCTGGGGACTTTTGCTCCATGGTTCAGTGTAATACACATCTAGAGAATTGTTCTCCATTTCCATCTAGTAAACAATGGCTGTTCCTTCTCTTGGCAGTTTATGCTAAAAGGAAGGTAATGGGAATGAACAAAAATGAATTGCATCGCTAAAAAATAAAATAAAATAAAAAAATAGCTTTAAAGCCCAAAATGTGTAGGAGGAGGAAGAAAACAGAGGTGTACGTGAGTGTTTATTTCTCTGCTTAAAGCTTTAAATGCAATAATAACTGCAGTGATTTGAATTCAGCAATTGTTGCCCCTTAAGACTGTTTGTGGTCATGCTTGTGATAGAGTTGGAGAAGGAGGGGTCAGGTGGTGAACATTATTCAGGTTGCATGACATTTGTTTCTGTGATTCTGGCCATTTTCCCACTTAACCAGCACCTGACACACTTTTCCCTGTTGTACTTGAGCAGCTATATCCTGTAGTCAAGGCTGATAGGAGTCAACAGAGCAGAGGAAGTCAAACAAAGGGTTGGGTCCAGGTGTGTTCTCACTTTGGACAAAATGTTGAGTGCCATGTCCCCTTAAAAGCCTCTCCCATTTCAGAGCTTGAAAAGAAATAAAGCTTTTCCTGGAATCACTGTAAATTGTACTATCAACATAGCAGCACTCTTTAAAAAAAAATCTTACATCTAAGGTCTGTACTGGAAAGTTTTAAGGATTGTTTGGGAATGCTAAGTGCACATCTAATCTTGGCTTACTATAAACTTGATTTCTGAAGATTTGTTCCCATCTTAGGTAACAAACTTGTTTTTTCATCTCTATTTTGGCTTCTCCTAGCTACACTGAAATATAATTAAGTTTTCCAGTCAAATCTCAGGACTTGGTTTATTTTTCCCCGTTGGAATTGCAAATTTAGAATTATGCCTAAAACAATGAAATTTTTGTTTCTTTCATATTCTAATATAAGTCTAGCATTCATGTATATCTAAAAGTAATAGAGGAAATCATCCATCTTTTCCTTTTTTAGGTTAGAGATTGTGTGTGAATTATCAGGGTTGGTGATTCTATATCATGGATCATATACATTTTATTTATCACAGAAATACCAAAATATAGTCCTCAACATTTCTTTACTTTCCCCATCCAGTGATTCTTTCCTATCAATCTCTTCTTCCCTTCCCCTTTTCAACATCTGCCTGGTTTATTCTATCACTAACTTCACACCTAAGTTCCTAATTTTATGTAGTAAGGATCCCAGGTTCTAAAGTTCTGGTTTACCCCCCTCACTCCCAATACTCCTGTTGGAGGAGCTGCAGGTTTTCCACAAAACTTATCCGAAGGAGTCTTCAGAATTTTCTTTTGTCTTCAGGGTAAAACACTGATGAGTAGGCAAACACTTTTTTCAATTTAGACTGCAATTTATATTGTACTATGAGGTGTTGTTATGCTAATAAAAATATTTCCCCCTTACTACTTCTAACCCACAGCACAATAGATAAAATAAAGGAGTAGAAAAGAACAAAATTCTTATCACAAGGTTGCTTTGTTAAATCTTTAGGCTAGGCTAGGTAGGTAGAAAATAGTTTTTGTGTTTACAAATTGCTATTTTGCGGTGCAACATTGTGATGAGTTTTAATAGTGGGTATGGCTTGGAACTGCAAGGACTGGCATCTTACTGATAGTGAATTGTACACCTCTGGGCTAAATGATGGCTACCACATCTGTAATTCTTCTGGTACTTGAGCTGATATTGCAGTTTAGTCTTAAAGAACATTTCATAGTTAAATACCCAAATTACATTCACAAAATATTAAAAGTACGGAGCACATGTAAGAAAAAGTACCACCTTTTTATGTCATCACAATACATAAATGGAAGATTCTCCCCCTACCCCCAGGTTCATTATCATGTGAAAATCTAAATGCAAAGATTATAATATGCTGTTCTACTGTGCCTTGTATTAGAGGGTTTTCTTGGGCCTAACCCTGTGGGTTTTACTCATAAGGAGAAAAAAAAACATTACTAAATTATAATGTCAACACAGACTCAGACATACTAAAGAAAGTGTTGCTTTCAGTATTCTGAGATCCCTACAGTTCCAGCTGGCAAAATACCAATTTCTCCTCAGCATTAGACGAGCAGGTCATCCTTTTAAGTGGAAGAAGCCAAAAGAGAAGACTTAATAAGAAGCATAGAATAAAGGATATTGTGTTTGTGATAATTCTTTTCTCTTAGAAATGGTCTTTTTAATAATTCTGACAGAGCACCATTCATATGCCTAAGGCAAAAATCACAGCCTATGTTGTTGCAAAGGAATAGGACCACAAGTTAGAAGTTCGGCTGATGACCAATTTATAGTCATGTACAATTTGCATTTGTTGCCAACCTTTTACACATTTAAGATTATAGGATAATTTTATTTCAAATAGCTATAAATTCACCATTTTTTAAAGGGTGTACTAGATATTTTTTATTTTCTTTTTAGTGAAATGTTATAAAATTGGCCAGTTTTGTATCTTATTAGCTT